TAAATAATAAGAGTAATCATAATACGTAGTAAATTTAGGTTTGTAAAAATAATGTCATTTAACATGATGATAATCATGATAATTTGCGATAGAATTTCAAAAAAATTATCGTTATGTAGTACATATCGTGTAACGTATCTACTAATCGCTAATGCCCGACGTAATACTCCCAAAAATAAACTATATTTAAGTTAATAAATTTGTACAATATACAAGATACATGTGAAATTTAAATAGAGCCCATGTATTATCGCTACGTTATTCCGTTATTTAAAATTAAATAACTATTTTATTTATTTATTTATTTATTTATAAATTTATTTACTTACGTACATATTTACTTATTAAACTTATCTACTCCAATTAATTTAAATTTTAGGAGATACGTTACGTGTCAAAATGTACTTTTAGCAGGCTAAAAAAATAAAAATATAAATGATATCAAGTTTTTATATCTAGAAGACAAATAAAGTAAAAGTAGATGCATTAGATCTAGATCTAGAATAAAAATCTTGTAAAAAGCTGATTATTATACGTACTTACGTACAGTACGTACAATAAAAATAATAATTGAAAAGGACTAATAATTATGTATGTAGGTAATCACGCGAAACTTGTTATTTAAGTAGATCAACGCTTATTTTGAAAAAAAGGAGTAATTACTAAATTTAAAAGAAATTCTAGACCTTTACGTATTCATGATGTATATAGAATTATTTTTGTAATATTATTTGTTTAACTTTATTAAGAAATTATATTATGTATGAATATATATACATATTGTAGTAATTCTTTTAAGAGTTTTAATTAATTTTGACAAATCGATTTTTAAATCGGAAAAGGATTATTATTAAAAAAGGAAAATTCTACGCGCATATAGATTATTCTGCAATGTATTTACATAATCAAGGTTCATAAAAATAAGAAAAATGATTGCTTTGTCATAAATCTCCTGATGTTATATTTGCAAATACTGTCAATGATCAATGATAAGCGATCAATGATCACAAGGTTATCACAAGAAATAAAGTATACCAGATACAGGTAAATGCAAACATGTATATATGTACAGACGTATGTACAGACTTACGTGTATACGTATGCATGTGTGTATGTATGTAGGTACGAACACACGACAGAAATCTAAATATAGAAATGTTTTCAAGACAGTACAGCAGCAGTACAGAATAGCAGTACAGAATAGCAGTACACAGAATAGCACACAGAATAGCAGTACACAAAATAGTAGTACACAGAATAGCAGTAAAGATAGTAAAAAAAGCATTTTTAATAATAACAAAAAAAGTAAGTGCATTATTATGTATTGACAGATTTGTTAAAGTTGAAATTCCACAGAGATATGTACATTTTTGGGAAAACAACATGAAAATTAATGCAAGGAAGATATTTTTAAAAGTTACGGGATTGAGGGATTAGACCTAATGGATAATGAGTAATGGGTTGTCGGTTAACACGTGGAAAAAATTGAGAATAAAATTGCTGATGAGGAGTAAACATAAAATGAGAACGATTAAAAGGTATAGCAGTGTTAAATTGAGAAGGATTAAATTGAGAAGGAACTAAATATTGAAAACGATTTAATTGAGATAATTGAGATGGTATTTGTTGAACAGAATTTTGTAGAAGTAATGGGTTTATAGAAATCGGATTAACGATCTGATTTGTAAATATCAAATCTGCATAGATAAAAGGATAATAGTTTTATAATAATTGGATAATAGATTGAATAATAAATTGATAATAGTTGAATAAATGATGAAATAAAATAATAATTGGATAAAATTATATTAGTACAACGTAAATAATAATACAAAAAGTAAATAAAATATACAGAAATAACAAAATGTCATCACATATACGTACTTGATTGCAGTTCATCATTTTCTTCACGTTCATAATCTGGAGTCACATTCATTATGTTATTTGCTATTGTTCGACGCTGATCAATCCAATTTAGTAAATCATCATCGCAGATGTTTGAATATTCATGCATAGTGGCAATAACATCTTTTGTCCAATAAACTTGAGATGCACCACGAAAGATAAAAGGTAGGGTACTAAGTACTTCATCTGGAACACACCAATTAATATAGAGTGTGTCACGTCTAATAAGGAAAAATAGAAATGCATTGTTTATGACAACATTCATGTATAACAACATTATGTACGCATGTATAACAACATTGTGTTGTTATGTATAACACCATTTCATATACGTATATGTATGTATGTATGTATGTATATATAACAACAATATGTATAACAACATTCAAATTATTCACGTGAAAAAATTACCTAGTAGTTCGTTCATCAAGACACATTTCACAACATCTTACTCTGAATTGCCAATAAACTTTAACGAAACCGGTTTCACGTTCTTGACAAAATTGACAACCTTTCCTTAATTGTCTAAGTACGATATATTGTTTCTCATCCATACCAAGCGGAGGAGGTAATTGAAGGTGAGGTAAGAAATTTTCACGAGAAGTTCTCCAGATCGACTGAGAGACCGGTGAGACAGGATTGCATAACAACCTCCTGAATGTTTGACAAACCAAAACTAGTGATAATAAATCATCGGGTGGCAGATTCGCGCATATATAACTAAATATTTCTACAGGAATGTCGATCATGCTGATAGGTTTAGAAAGAAGAGAAAGACTATCATTGATTGTTTTTGAGAGAGTTTGTCGAGGAATGATTGGAGTTGGAATTTTTGCAATCTTTGGTGTAGTAAGAATTGGGGAAGAAATAGGTTCAGTCTCTTTAATAATAGGTACATCAACAGGTATATCGTTAGGTGGATCCTCTTCAATTGGTGTGATCGGTTTTGGTGATTCAACAAGAGTTGTTACATTTGTTATAGGTGTTATCTCTTGATTGATCTCTTTAATGATCTCTTTATTTATTTCTTTATTGATTTCTTTAGGTGAAGATAATTTTTTTTTACTTTTTGAATTGGAACTGACAGATTTACTATTTTTACGCGATTTACGACTAATCATGACACGAAAAAAAAAAAAGTAAAGATATGTAGCAAAAATATATTTAACATATTTAGCAATAATAATAATAATGATTAATGATGTGGTTGGGAGAAAGACAGATACATACACTTTATTATTTTGATTACTTATTTCTCCCATCTTTAATGTTCTTGATGTTAATGTTATTGATGTTCTTAATGTTATGTTCTTAATGTTATGTTCTTAATGTTCTTGATAATTCTTGAAATAGAATTGTTTTGATGAAAAATAAAGTCGTATAAAGCCTTTTTATAAAATTTTTATTTATTTATTTATTTATTTAATAATATTATAGAGAATATAAACCTGATTACGAGAAAGTCAAGATGATTAACGTTCAATTGCAGCAACGTGTTTGTGCATTGGCAATTTTCCCCCGTAATGTAAAACAAAAAAAGATAATAGATTTTTTTTTTTTGACACACATTTAAATGATTACAAATAAATTGAACTCCGATTGGTAGTTTCACCAAAAAGTCACGGCGCATATATTTGTTGATCCGCGTGAAACGATGCAATCAATATGTTTATGTTAAGTGAAGAATAAGTTTTTTATGGAAAACATGGGGCGTTTTTTTTAATACAGTAATTAATACAGTAATAAGCAAGATTTCCTCTCACTATTGTAAAACTTGATTTTTTATTGGATAAAAATTCAATATAGCAGATAGTACAACTTATACAACTTATACAATATATGACACTATCGCTATAATTGTATCAATTATAGCTGTATCAATATTAGTAAATTAATGATACATAAATACAGTAATACTTTAATAGTACAGTACATACGTACGCATGTACGCACATTTTTTAATCATAATTCAATCATACTTTAAAAATCATACATATACATATACTACAGTATACTACAGTATACTACAGGTATCGGAGTACGTGCGTACACTTCTTCCAATCTTGTTAAAATAAATAAGATTGAATTTCCAGGGAATTATTTATCAGATTACTTGTTTATTTAAAGATAGAACCAATCAGGGAAGATAAAGTTGTAGATCTTTTTTATGCATCTATCGTTGTTTATTTGTATTGTGAAAATTCTCACCTTTTACAAACAATTTATCTTTTTTTTATCTATTTATGCTTTTGGCCCAGTGCGAAATGCAAGATAATTTTTGTGTAATGTAAAGTTCAGAAGTTATGTAGGTTGTCTTCTTGTTGTTGTACCTGTTTGATGTACTGCCGTGTGACTTTTACATCTAAAGGGCGCTATATTTCTCCCTTTTCTAAACAATCAACAATACTTTTGCATTTGATTATCCAATAGATACGGTCTTGTGACTGAAAAGCCACGATCATATCCCATGCATTTTTCACTTACTAATTTTTCTTCACACGCCTAATTCCTAAATGAGGCGCTGTCATTTTACTACTCCGCTATATTACTATTTAGGTTAGTTTACTATTCACCTTTTCTTTTGTTTCAAAATTTTCCTGTGGCTATTTTCTTTTTTTCTTGATTATTATTATTCAATTAACTTCCTTTTTAGTTTTCTTTATTTCTTCAAAGACGTTGCATTCTATTATTGGCATCTGAATTCTATTTTCCCTATTCCATTTGCAGATAACCCTGCGCAATAACAAATCCTTTTTTTCTTTTGGTTTTCTCATGACCTTTTTGATTCCCCGACTACTGCAATTTTCATACTCTATGCCGCCTTTTTTTGTTTTCATTGTCAATGGTAAACAATATTGGTTATACAAAGTTTAGATTTTGTATCACTTGTCCTTGTCTTTTCTACTTTTTTTTATTGGTAACTTAATAATCTTTTTAATTTATTTCTATTTATTCTATTTTCGTTATTTTTTTGCCCTCGAAATTTCCTGTACTTCGTTGATCATGTGATTAATTAAAATTTTTTTTCTACTTATTTAGTTACCGTTGTTCAAATTAAAATTATATCTGCTTTTTTATTTGTATTCCTTTGCAGATTTATAAATAATAAATTTTTCAATGTACTGAAAGTTATACATACATAAATATCAAGTACGTACGTATGTACTTACGTATGTACTCACTTACGTAAATGCTTTATTTTCATTTTGGGTAAATGAATTTCCGTGATTGTTACCTGTTACGTATGTACTGTACGTACGTACATACTTGCATTACTATCGCATCGATGTTTCATGTGGTGAAATCAATTTTAATCTTTCATTTCTAAATAGAATTTGCTCTCAATCATGTGATTAATAAACAATTCCTTTATTTACCTTGTCATTATTACTGCAGTACTGTGCCAAATTCTTTTTTTGTTTTATAACCGGTAACTTGCGTTAGTATTTTTCAATATGTACTGTACACAAAAATTTTTATTTTGATAAATTTGTAAATTTCCAATATTAGTTAAATAATATGTATGATAATATGTATGATAATATGTATGATAATATGTATGATAATACGTATCGTTATTTTATTAGTTGATATTATTATCTTACTGTACGTATTATCATTAATTAACGATAATTGTTTGTTGTTACGTATTGCACGATTATTTGAATAATTAATAAAACCTAAAGTTATCGTTTATTATAATTTGTACATAACACTAATCAGAATTTCTTATTCATTTTTTTTAAAGTATTGTATTACAAATATTTATGCATAATGTCTTTTTATCAATCAATAAATGTGGCAGATCATAATGAAATCGGATTAAAATGAAACTGGGGACCTTTCTTGCTTATCTTTAAAGCTTATAAAACCCACTTATACTCT